TCTCGTTCTTCCTCCGAAGCAGAATATAGAGCACTTGCTACTAGTACCTGTGAGTTGCAATGGTTAACTTACCTTCTCAATGATCTCAAAATTCAGTGTTCTAAGTCCGCAGCACTTTATTGTGATAATCAAAGTGCTTTACACATTGCTGCAAATCCAGTCTTTCATGAAAGAACAAAACACTTGGAGATAGATTGCCATTTGGTTCGAGAAAAAGCACAAGCAGGATTAATGAAGCTCCTTCCTGTTCCATCATCTCGACAACTTGCTGATATCTTCACCAAAGCTCTTCCTCCTCAGCCATTCCATGCAAACTTGTCCAAGCTAGAGATGGTTGACACCCCTCTCCAGCTTGCGGGAGGCTAACAAACTTGTACTATATTCCTTTATAACAAACTTGCAATCTCCGCACCACTCTGCCGCACCACTCCGCACCACTATGCTGCACCACTCCTTTTCTTTTTGTCCATTCTGCTTTTGTTATTTTGTCTTTTATGCTATTAGTATTCTAGAATAGAAGGAAATATTGTATATAAATATTGGATGACCTATTACTGAGATAATTTGATTATTTCCAAATACTTTCACCTTTTTATCATCTTTCGTTTTAAAAACAACTTAACTTTTGGTTGCATTATCGATATTTACTTTGAACCAATAATCTAAATAAAATAAAATTACTTAAATTAAAAGAAAATGTCTATGAGAACAAGTTTATATATAAAAAAAATTAACACCTTAAAATTAGATATGTCATTATGTATGAAATTAAAAGAAGAAGAAACAATCATTCTTACAAATCATAAGATGAATCAAATAGCAAAAGATAAATTAAATATTTATTAAAAAATCCATAAAAATAATATGATTTTGGATTAAAAATGGTATTAATGCTTCATCTAGAGTCATTTCACACCTCATTATATATTTTTAGCAAATTTAATGGAAGGATCCGCAAAACCGACCTTGACTTAACACACGCGTTCTCAACGCGCATTGCCTCCTTTTTTTTAATGATATTAGCACCACGTATCTTCCATTTCGCATTCAAAATTTTATTTTAAAAACTCTTATCAAATACCACCACAACTCTTTTAGCTATTCCAATTTACTTTCTTTTACGTACCATTCAAATAATTCCTAAACTTACATCCTAAATTTATCTTAGTTTCTTCATTAACTCGCTTTCTAATCAATTCCTTCAGTTCAAATAAAATTAAATGTTCAGACGGTCAACCATATGATAAAATTAATATATGTTATAATAATAAAACAAATATATGACTCGGTAAGGAAAAATAATATATATAAGCCGTTGTGAAATAATTATATGTTTATTGAGGTAGTATTTGCGAGTAAAAAAAAGGAATAAGCGTCATTCACAGTTCTCTGTTGACTGTCATTTCAACAAAACATTTATTTTTATTTAGCACTTGATTATGTTCCTACCTCTTGTAATAGACATTTTAATAAGGTTTAGATAAAAGAAAACCCTATGTTTATTAACATAATATAATTAATATCGACAGTTAAATATTTTATAGTTATTATTTATGATAAACATGTTATTATTAATTATTTTATTATTATATTTAAGATAAATATTATTTCAATAATATATAAATCTTATTTACTGATTTTATAAATACAATCAGTATTCTTTATAAATAATAATTCAAATTTATTATATTTTTAAATATTTTAAATTTTTTACTAATTTAAATGTCTGATAAATTTTTAAAGTAAATCTACTTCTTTTAAACAGAAATAAATGTCATTCCAACTATAATAAAAACTTTCAAATATCATAGTTAGAATTTTGTCATTTGTCCATAAATTTTTATTTAAGATTTTCGCAAATTTCTGCTCAAGATCTTGATACCATTTGATTTTAATTCACCAACTAACGTATATATCTTCCAATAATTAATGCCAACATTTTTTTCCTACAAAGATTAATTACAAAATAATATTATCGTAAACACCATGTACTTAGATTAATAACTGGGTGAAATAAAAAAGTAGAACAGCTTTCTCAGAAAATAGTAGGAAACTTCGCACAAACAGGGTAGGCGTAGACAATTCCCCTTGCACAAACTACAGTTATTCCCGTACACAAAGTACAAATCCCAGAATCTATAAATACTACAGATACAGGACATGGTTTGGTAAACGTAAACCTCTGTTTTCATATATAAAGGTATTCGTGAGTAATAGGAAGCACCGAAAGAAGAGCAGAGTGCATGATATTTATTTGTCATACTCATAAACCCTAAAGGCTTTTTAGATTTCTGTTGTTCAGAATATGTGTCTGCTAACCCAGTCTGATTTGAAGCGTATTTTTGAGAAAGTCGACGTCAATGGCGATGGGTTGCTGAGCCTTGAGGAGCTGAATCGGATGCTTGAAATCACTGGTACTTGTCAGTACAGCATGCAAGAGTTGGAATCGCTGGTGGAAACGAAGAGCCTTGGTTTCAGCGAGTTCTTGTTCTTTTACAACTCCATTTCGGAGCAGCAGAATGGAGAAAGCAGAGGAAGTGGTGAGGCAGAGGAATTGGAGAGCGACCTGGTCAAAACCTTCAAGGTCTTTGACTTGGATGGCGATGGCTTCATCACCAGCCACGAGCTTGAGTCTGTCTTGAAAAGGCTTGGCATGTGGGATGACACCAACTGCAATGATTCTACAACCATGATTCGATTCTATGACACCAACTTCGATGGTCGTCTTGATTTTCAGGAATTCAAGAATATGATGTTGGTTTCCAGAGCCTGATCCTCCTCCTCTGTTTCTGTAAATATGTGTTTTATCATCATCAACGTTATTCATAAGTCTTCTCTCTGTGCAACTCTGTTGCTGTTTATATTACTTTCTCCTTTTTCTTTTCTTTTTTATGTAGGAAAGAAAGAAAATGAAAGTTTTGAAATTTAGTTTCAATGAAAGTAAATAAAGAAGAAAAATAAAGTTTTGAAATTTAGATTCAATGAAAGTAAATAAAGAAAAACTTATAAAGAATCCGATTTTTATTCTTTGTATTTTATCATGTCATTTATACTTAACCATTTTTTAGTTTGTATACAACTATAACTATTTATTTTCAATAGTGTTTTTCTTAATTGATAAAAATTATTACATGAATTTTAATTCGTTTTAAAAACATTCTTGAAAATGTGTGACGAATAAATTTTTTTTTGTTAAATGATAAAAAACGACGTTAACGTAGATGATTTTATTATATGGAAATGAAATTTAAATTATTATGTGAAATTCAGTAAAAGAAAAGAAAAAACAAAAAGTAAAGGAAAGAAAAACAAAACAAAGTTTTCTCTCTCTGTTCGTCATACACCCTGTCATGTCATGATTATTAACCTCAGAAGTCGTCATTGGACCAACTAGCCTTAAACAGAACCACCGTAAGGTCATTGGAAACCACTGCATGAATGGATTTGAAACTTTTCATCGCGCACAGAGAGAAAACCCTTAAATCGCGAGTTTCATCATCTCCCCTACGACAACCTCGCCTCCATGCGCCCCTACATCTCCCTCTTCACACAACCGTGAGAACCACTATTGTCCAAAACCTACAAAAGAACACAGTCACAGATTTGCGAATTCGAACTACTTAAACCCACAATCTCACTGTGAAGCACAATGCCTTTATGGAACCTGCAAAAACATCCAAATCACAAAACCCAGATTGCGAACTCGTCTTCTCCTCCATCGTGCCTCCATAAGCAAGCATATCACACCTGCAATCAAAGAATCAACCAAAAAATCCTTCATCGCTGACCAGACAGATCTCCATGCGAAGCCACCATTGACTTTGTTGTAATCCAAAATCGCGTCACCACAAATCACTCAGGTTCGTTCTTCCGTAATCCACAAAGCTCAATCGCGAGTTCATCGTGAATCATAAACTTATCATCTACGAAATCCAAATCCAAAATAATCTCGCACCACCATGATCCACTTCGCACCTGCATTCGCGATCCATACCTGCAAGGAATAAAACTCAAAACGCGAACTAGAGGAACACCGCGAAGAACGAACCAAAATGCGAACCAGAGAGACACCGCAAAGGACGAACCAAAACGCGAACATGTTTATCATTTTCTTCCTCATGAAGCCTTCGCTGCCACCAACACACCATGAAAAGCAATCTTGTTACCCGAAATCCCCACCCCTAATTTTCACTGTACCAAATCTCTAATTTTTTTTCTAACCTCGGTATCCAATTAAACAATATCATATCATAAATTAAACCTCAAATTTCACATAACAATTTAAATCATATTTTCACGTAATAAAACTATTTACGTGATATAAAACGAACTATTTACGTGATATAAAACGAGATATCCGAATTGAAATTCTTGTACTGATAAACATACGAGGATTTTAATATTTTTTAATTGAATGTGAGATTTTAATTCGATATTTTGTTTCATAAATTTAAATCTACAAGAATTTGAATATTCGAATTTTTAGTTTTGAAAGCATGAATAAATTTAGCAAAATCAGCTGTCATGACGGGATGAAGTTCCATTCCATCCGTACTAAGTTTACTTCGTGTCAAGAAAAAAGAAAAAAGAAGATGATAAAATGTTTGTATTTGCTTTTTCCAGTTTTAAGAATACTTATTTAAAAGTAGTTTCAAAATTTAAGACAGTTTGGGTGGAAAATTAATTGTATGGAAATTGAACAACTTTTTTTTTTTATATTTTCTCTCTTACTAAATAAAAAATATCGTGTCTTTCTCCTTTTAATTTTCTTTCTGGTGCCTTAATGATAAAAACTTAACAGAAAAATACATAAAAAAAGTTAGTTGAAGCAGTTTTATATGGTTAAACTGCTCTAGAAGTACAAGGTTGAAGAGTTTCGTTTCTGCGACTGAAAGTATGTAATGTGCGACCAAAACTGGCTGCGTGGGGGCTTTGTAGTTTTTTCTTGCATTCACTAATCTTTTCACATTTACAAAAATTAGGAAAAATATATTTTTGATGTGATATTCTTTTGACTGTAATAGGCTAACTTCTAAGTCTTTAATTGTAGCTTTCTTCTTGTGTTTATCTTTAAAGAAAATAGAAAAACCAAAGACGACTTTTTTATAAAATGATCTCACGTATTCTAGAGGTACCATTTATAGTTGCATTTAACTAGCTATCAATGAAAACATCATTTCTTAATTAACATTAAAATCATAGACTTTGTAAATTAAAACCAATAATATTGACTAGCTACGTCTTTTATGGGTGTTGCTACCTCTACCTCCACCTCCACAGCCTTCTCCCTCCACCTCCCCAATTATCTTTAATTCCAATTATATCCTTAAAGTTAAAATTTTTTATTTTTATTATTTTAATATTTTAATATTTTAATATTTTAATATTTAAATATAAACTAATATAAATATACATTATTAAAATACATTAAAAAGATATTCAAAAATAATAAATCAAAATATTAAAATATCTAATAAAATAATAACAGAAACATAA